TCGGTCTATAAGTGTGAGATTTGATGAAAAAACTATTCATATTGGAGTTATATGATGAGAAATTTTTTAAAGGAAAAAAGATCTGACAATATCTTAGTGGAACTTATGTGATACCTAAAAATATTGAGAAAAAGGATAATGCTTTGATAGATGCATGGGAAGCAACAATGCTAAGATTATTACTTGGATTAACAATTTTGTTGAGAATTTTATAGGTACACAGTTGGCAAAGTATGAGACAACAAAGAAGGTTTGAGAGCACCTGCAAAGATTATTCACGGAATCAAATTTTGTAAAGCAATATCAATTAAATAATGACATACAAGCTTTTTCACCAAAAAAATATATGAGTATTTAGAAATTCTATTATGTTGTGATAAATCTTTGGGATTAATTGGCTCTTAAAAAATTAAAATAATTAAAAGCATATAGTGCTTATATTAATCGTAGAAAGCAGTAATGACGAGTATAGTTTTTAACAACACTTCACAGTGATTTTGAGGGACTTTGATGTTTAATTTTGCATCATTTTTCATTATCTTCTGCTGACTTTGTTGTCAGTGAGTTATTAGTTAAAGAAATACATCTTCAGTCTTATTCTGAAAAAGAAATTCTTTATGTTTTGAATCCTTTTGTACTAGCAATACTTTCTAAGTCACTCTCTAATCATTAAAATTAGCTTTATACAAGGGTTGCCTTTAATGAGTGTAGTTTTTATAAGTAAAAAAAATTATTAAAAGGTTTAGTGTCTCAAGTTGAGGCAATAGAATTAAGCTTGGAAGCCTGATAGTCAGTCACTATCTAATACTTAAAGACCACCTCATGGATAAAAACCATCACACAACAATATTGTAGTAGTGATTTCACTAGGCTCTATCACCGATTTTAGCACTCTAGCTCAGCAATTTCAGAAGTTTCTCTTCTTATAACCATAACCATTGTTTGCTTCTTCTTCCATAGGTTAGTAACCTTATAATTCCTCAGGTATGTCACATTCTAAATAGATCTTGGATTTTGGTGCTTCACATCATATATCTTTAGATTTTTCATCCTTTACTTGTATGTCCTCTTCATTTTTTATTCATGTTATAACTATTGATGAGACTCTTGTGCCCTTAGCAAGTGTTGATTTTGTTGTCACACCTCACTTGTCTCTTCATAATGTTTATCTTATTCTAAAACTTAAGTTGAATCTTACTTTTATTGGTCAGTTATGTGATTTTGATGACTATTTAGTCATTTTTTTCCCTTTTGTTTTGTTATGTACAGGATTTGCAATCTCAAAAGCTTATTGGAAAAGGTCATAAGGAGAATGAACTATATATTTTGAATGAGTTAAAGGTGCTGGTTGTTATTATTGTTGCTTCTCCTATTATTGATTTGTCTTCTTTTTATTTGAATCCTTTCTTTTCTAGTTTTTATTTATAGCATTCTTGTTTAGGTCATGTTTCATCTTCCCATTTGAAATTCTATGCATTCGTATGACCTTTAGAAAATTTGCAAACTTGTGATATTTTAATTGTAGAGGATGTAAACTAGCAAAAATTTTCACTTTATCTTTTAATCAAAGTATTAATATTTCTTCGTCCTCATTTAACTTTATTCATTCTAATATATGAGGACATTTTCCTGTTGACACAACAGAAGGGTCTTGATATTATATTTTTTTTATTGATGATCATACTCGTTATAATTAAGTCTATTTAATAAAAAATCATTCTAAATTCTTTGAGATATAAATAGCTTTTCAAACTCTTGTCAAAACTCAATATTTTATTGTTATCAAATGTTTTAGGTGTGATTTAGGTTAAGAATATATCTCTAATAATTTTTATGAATTTCTTACCTTAGATGATACAATTCATCAAACTTCATATACAGATACTCATGAGCAAAATGGAGTTGTTGAAATAAAACATAGGCACATTGTTAAAATCATTCGTTCTCTCTTATTGTCTGTTTCTGTTTCTTCATTTGTTCTCTCTTATTGTCTGTTTCTGTTTCTAATGAGTTTTATAAAGAAACTATCCTTATTACTATAAGTTTGATTAATACAATTTTATCTTCTTATACTTCAGGTTTTTCTCCTTTTAAAAAGTTATATGGTTATGCCCTTATTATTCCTCCTTTAGAGTTTTTTATTGAACTTGTTTTGTTCTTTGTCCTCATATAGAACGCAATAAGTTGTCTACTCGATCAGTTATTTATATCTTTCTTAGTTATGGTGAAGGTAAAAAAAGGTATTGTTGCTTTGATCTAGTAACTCAGAAACTTTATGTGTTTCATCATGTTGTCTTTCTTAAGCATATACCCTTCTTTTCTATTTCATTCACTACTCATAACTTGACTAGATCTGATCTTATTCGTATAGATTTGTTTTTAAAGGATTCTGATAGTTTATCATCTCAGGGTCATAGTACTTCAGATACCTTTTTCCATGTTCGACAAATTTGTATTCATTATTATGTAAATGCTAACACTTTACTCTTCAGCACACCTGAAGCTCTATTCTCATCTACAATCTCATAAGCTTCATCTAAGATTGTGGATCTATATTTATGTCTATTCATATGTATTTATAAGTCCACAAAGCTACTAGATTTTACTTATTATTGTTATTCTTCATCTTTACTTTCTTTTTAGCTTTTATTCATTGTATCTCTGACCTTTTTTTCTATAAAAAAGCAATTTTTGATCCTATTTGATAGCAAACTATGAATGAGAAACTTAGTGCTTTGCATAAGACAAATACTTGAGATTTGATTCCTCTACTCCTAATGCGAGTGTTGTTGGTTGTCATTGGGTGTATAAGATCAAGACTAATTATGATGGGTCTATTAAGCAATACAAAACTAGGTTGATTGCAAAACAATACTCTTAACAATATGGTATAAATTATGAGGAGATATTTTTCCTAGTTGCAAAAATGACTACTATCCGTAATCTTATTGTCGTATTTTCAATTCATCAGTGGCATATCTCTCAACTTGATGTTAAAAACATCTTCTTAAATGAAAATCTTTAAGAAAAAGTTTATATGGCACCACCTCCTAATGGTTACATGACTCTGGGTATATTTGTAAGCTTAAGAAAGCATTATATGGATTCAAGCAAGCACCTCGTACTTGGTTTGAAAAATTTCTGTTATGATCTCATTTATTGGATTTGTTTCTAATAGTCATGATTCTATTCTTTTTATTAAATACATTGATACAGGTCATATTATTTTATCTTTATATGTTAATGATATGATTATTATTAGTGATGACATTGATGATATTTCAGTTTTGAATATAGAGTTAGCTAAAAAGTTAAAAAAAAAAAAAGGATTTGGGTTATCTTTGATATTTCTTGGGTATTAAGGTAGCTTACTCACTTAAAGGTTACTTTTTTTTCTCTATTGAAATATATTGCAGATATTCTTGAGCGGGTTCGACTTACTAATAATAGGACTATAGATACTCTCATTAAGGTTAATACAATGTATTCTTCTTCTGATAGTTTACCTTTGACATATTCTACTATATACCATATCATTATTGTTGGGAGCTTGTTATATCTCATTATTACTCGTCCAGATATTGCATATGTTGTTCATGTTGTTGTTCATTTTATTGTTTCTTTTACTATCATTCACTGAGCAGTTATTCTTTGTATTTTGCAATATCTTCGAGGTACAGTATTTTAAAGTCTTTTCCTTTCATCCACATCTTGCTTGAAACTATGTGCATACTTTGATGTTGATCATGATAGTGATCCCATAAATTTCAAGTCTGTTACTGGTTTCTGTATTTTTTTAAGTGATTCTTTTATTTCTTGAAAAAGTAAAAAACAATTTATTGTTTCTCAATCTTCAACTGAAGCAAAATATCGTGTTACGACATCTATTACCAAAGAGATTGTTTTGTTGTGTTGGTTACTTGTGGATATAGGAGCTTTTCTTTCTCATCCTACTCTTATATATTGTGACAACTAGAATTCTATTCAGATTGCTCATAACTTGGTTTTTCATGAACAAATTAAACATATTAAGATCGATTGTCATCTTACTCATCATCATGTTAAGCATGACATCATTACTCTGCATCTTGCTTCTTCTTCTTTGTAAATTGTAAATTTCTTTAGTAAATCACATTTCATTTCTCACTTTTGTTTTTCTAACCGGTAAACTCTCAATATATATATATATATTATTTTCTTCATTAAAAGTAAAATAATATTTTTAGTTTAATCTATATAAATCTCTTTGTATTTAGATTAAAGTAAAACTTTAGAACATGCTAATTAATAAAAACTTTAATAATAATAATAATAGCTCTAATTACAAATTAATATAAAATACAAGCTTCAAGCTATAATTTAAATCATATAATAACTAGATTTTTTTTTCCATAGAAAACGGGCCCAAAATTTTGTTCACATGCTTTGGAGTGGGTGTAGTTTATGAGATGGCTGCTCCACTGCTCCAAGCTTGGAGCGCAGATGTTGTCATGTTGGTATTTCCAATTAAAGAATTTATGTATCTTTATGTTTTAAAAATATTTAAAAAATAAAAAAAATATTTTTTATTTTAAATTAATTTTTTTAATATTTTTAAATTATTTTGATATTTAATATAAAAATAATATTTTAAAAATAAAAATATTATTTTAATATATTTTTAAATAAAAAATATTTTAAAAAATAATTATAACTACCCTCCCAACCATAAAAAATGTAGAAAGTGAATTTCCGACAGGATTTAAGTAAGATTAACATAAGAACTGGGCTTGGACTCCAGTTTAATAACCCTCATCCAACAGATGGCCCACCCGCCATTTTATACCAGACATTAATTTCTGGGGGTGTTTGGACCGCCTTTACATTTTCAAAAATTTTATTTTCTTTAATTATCTTATATTAAAATTAAATTTTAAAAAAATATTATTTTAATATATTTTTAAATAAAATTTATCTTATAAAGCGCCAGTTTCTCAGACAACTTCCAATTCAACAAGTCCCATTCCTAAAGCCACAATCTCTACACCTGGTTTCTGTATCTGTGCATTACAGATCATTAGCCACTGCCATTACAAGATTTCTGGTGTTCGGAGGCTCTAGCATGGCTTCCGTGGTGATCTCGCGTAGACTTTCTCCTATCTCACTAAAACCCTCTCCTCCATCTATTTCCTCCCTTTTCATCTCCCATGGACCCCAAAACCACACCCTTGATTCTAAGTCCACTCTTCCTCAACGACCCTTAAACCCTAATCCCAATCTCTCTAGTTCCCTGTCAAGCTATCCTGCTGGTTCCTCCATTCTTGAACACCAATCAGATCCAAAACCCACAAATCTTACTCTCAATTTTATTAGATCACACTCTTATTCAGGTACTAAAACCAAGGATCATGACTTTATTCGGTCAACAATGAAAAACCCTGGAATTTTCTTTGCACATAGTAATGGACAAGCCCAAAATTCAGTTCAAAACGCTGGTTTCAAGCAAAAGGTTTCTATTTTTGCAAAACCCATGAATTCAAGTTTGGATTTTAAGTTAAAAAATCCCAGATATATTGGGTTATTGAACCCAAAGCACAGATATTTTTCAAGTTCAGGTTCATCATCAGATTCTGATGAACCCCAAAACCAAAGTGAGTATCCAAGCCAAAACCCTGATTTCAAACACCAAGAAATTGAGGGTCCAACTCTTGAAAGAGACCTCTCAGCTTTAACCAATGAGACCAGAGAGGTTTTAGAAAGGACGATGAAGAACATATATGGTTTGAGTAGAGCTGTTGCTGTTCTGGGTCTGGTTCAACTTGGACTTGGAGCTTGGATTTCTTATGTTACTAAAGCGACACCAATGACTGAGGTGTCAATTCAAAGTTTTGTGGCATTCGGATTTCCTTTTACGTTGGCATTTAAGTTGAGGCAAACATTGAAGCCGATGCTCTTCAAAAAGATGGAGGAGCTAGGTGGGTTGCAAATTTTGACTTTAACTCTTGAGGTTACTAAAAATTTGAATTTCTTCTTTGTGAGGGTTCGTGGGGTTTCTTTCTTGTGTATTGCTGGGATGTCTGTTGGATTGTCGTTCACTCTACTGTCAAGATGATTTCTTCCATTTTGAATTTTTAATTGTCAGTTACCGTAATAAACAAATGTACTTCTCATGGTTGGATTTTCTTGAATGTTTTGCTTTGAAGTCTTTGAAGATGTAAAAGATTTTACAAATTTGTGTTTGCTATACTTGCTAAACATGTTAGAGATGTCCCAAACAGAAGGATCTGTTACGCTGGTGGCCATTTTGGGTACAAAATGTGCGTGTCATTTTTGGCCAAGTCTATTTCTGGCTTTTCTCTCGAATAAACCTCTTATGTGACAAATTATCTGTCTTCACCATTTTGATCGCGAAAGTAATGATTTGATAGCTTTTAGGGAAATCTGAATGGCATCGACATTATTTGTTGCACTTCCAATTATGGGATTTATGCCTTGTAGCTCCTCTGGGATTCAATTTCGTCTTTGTGCAGCTCATCTTCATGTGTTCTTGAGTCTTAAATTTTAGTCCTTGGACGTTTTCATTGGTTAATTTGATAGTGTCAGCTATTTTTCTACTCTTGCTTCATTTTCTCCTTGGCTTAGCTCTTAGGTGAGCTTGTAATTGCCACGAATTGAGGATAGATTCATGTTGTTTGTCAGGGGTTGTCCAAACTTCCAAACAGGTCCAAGTGGATTCTTTCCCTTTTTAACAGCCTGGCTTTGGACTGAACAGCTCGCTTTTGATTGCTTCCTGTTTTGCAATTCACTAACCAGATAGAAAAGGGGCCTCCGTAAGTCACTATGAAACGATATGAACAAGAGAGGGACAAGGTACTTGATAGAGACTGGCCATAAACGTTCGATTCTTGTAGAGACGGAGCAAAAGTGTTCTTTTTTATTGAAAATGGAGCTCAAAGCCCTTCTAAAAAAAGCTTAGATTAAAGGAGGTAACTTAAACTCAATCATGTTGAAATATAAAATTGAATACAAACTCATTAGAGGGTTACTAATTGTCCAATGATCTTTATCAAGGGTGTTTTTTGACAAATCAAAGTTCGCTAACCAGTTTGCGGTTGCTTTAGCTTCACGAAAGGCATGGTACTTTAACTATTCACTCTCTTGTCAGCAAATCCTTTGCTTTGGATATCAGCAAAATTTACGCCAACTTTTTTAGATTCCTGTGTTATGAGATTAACCACAAGCATGGAATCTGACTTTAGAATTTGCTTTCGAATACCTAAAATCTAAGCAAGCTCAAGAACTTTTGATATTGCCCATAATTCTACTCTGACATATGAACAGATGCTCATGTTGATTGTGAAACTCTCAACCCGAGAACTGAGCAGATTTCTAATCAAGCCTCCAAACTCTCAGTTTTAGAAGGTGTTTGGAGTTGCAGTTATGGGTGTGGTTATGTTAATATGGAGTTGTAAAGTGTTTGGTTAGATATCAACCATATTTTTTTTTATGTATATGGGAGCCTCAATATCTAAAAATCAATTTTTATTTGTTTTATGGTGCATTCTCTCTCTTTGAAAGCACTCTCTCTCATCATCACCAACAAAAAAATTTGCAGAGGAGAAAGCTATTGAGAAAAAAATACCGAAATGTCTCACAAATCTGAAAATCTTGCTTCTTATTGCTAACCATTTCTGAGATATATCATTATTATCTCATTCCCAAATTTTTCAGTCTTGTTATCCCCTTTTGTTCCCTTCTCTTGTCTTGATATTTTTTTAACTTGCCTCATTTTTCTTTGAGAGTTTACCTTGCTAGACTCGCTCAACAAAAAGTAATTTTCAATGATTAATAAGCTCATTCATCAAAGCTTTGTATTTTTTTTTTTTGTAAATTAAAATCTTATATCCCTGTACTCCTCTATTCATTCTTCTTCGAGTCATATCAAATTCAATGTAGATTTTCATATGATGTTTCTAACATTTTTTTGCTTTTTTGGTTTGTAGAAATAAACAATAAATCCATGTTGGGGAAACTCAAATGGGAGAAAAGTAATCATGAGTTTCTTCCTTATCCCATCTTAAGATTTATTTTAATTAACTACAAATATTAATTTGTGTTATGCTTCATTAATTTTTTTATTGTCATTACGTGTCAATATTATTAATTAATTACAAATTACTGCACTTGTTTGCAACTTGTTCTTGAAATTAGATGATTTTTCTTTATATATTTTTTTCTTTGTTGAAATTACTCATGTTTTATGGAGCTTTGAATTTTTGATTAATTTATTAACAAGGGTTTTGTTTGCTTAAAATGAGTTTCCTTTTTAGTTAAGGTAATAGTTGGATTTAACTACTGCTTTTTTATTTTATTTTTGTATATAACTGGAAAAAAGTGTAATATTTTATTTTGTGAGAATTGAATTGGAGTGTTGTATAATTGATGAAGTTTTGAGGGTTTTTTTTTCATATAAAAGAATAAATAATCATCTTATTTGTAACAAACAAAAGTCAAATTGTAGATTGGGCTTGATTGGTAGAAAGCAATGTTAAAAGTCTTGAATTGCATATTAGATTTGATTTGTAAAAAGCAGTGTTTGATATAAACAGATAAGGTAGTTGGGATTGAAACCAAAAAGGGAAAGTTGAATTAATTATTTCAAGTATTGAATCAATAAACAAAGCCTAACACCCTCATCCTTTCTAAACAAATTCACTCACTTGGTTTATACTGTATGACTTTGATGCTACCTCTAATATATGTTCCTCATGTTTTTTATTTGATATTGAAGGAAACAAAACACCGTAAAAGGCATCCAATTAAACAGAACTGAAATTCACTTTAAAAAATTAACGAGAACAATTGTTGCTCCAATAATAATCTCAATAAATAGATAAGATAATCAATTTCAAAACTTGAAATCCAATTACTAGAAAGCCACAGAAAGAAGGAATTAAAATTCATTATTGATTTTTACAGTAAGTAAGCATGTGACATGCCTATAGTCATCTTTATAATTACCTCTCGTAGCCTACTATTTTTTGAAATATTTTGTCTTACAAATTATTAAAACTATATTATATCGACATCTCATGCTTTCAATTTTCCTTAAATAAGGGTTATTAAAGTGTGCTTTGTTAAATATATTCCATAAACTAATGTGTTCCACAACATGCATTTTGTACTTTGCAGTTTTTCCCATTATTTATAATAAGTATTTTGTATTTATGTTAATGTTGACTTTTGTATATACATATGACATCATTGTTTGTTTCCTCTTGTTAAATGTTTTAAAAGATATAATAGAAAGTCTTGAATCTAGGGATAAGATTGGTTAGACAAAGGAAATATTGCATATATTTTGTGACCTATGATTAAAGCCATTGATATGGAAATGAGATCTAATATCTATTTTGATAAAACAGGATGAAAATTTCTTATAATATCATTCAAAAAACATTGATAAAACAGGATGGAAATTTCTTATAATATCATTCAAAAAACAATTTGGTCATGCATTCACTAAAACATAACTGAAAAAAATGGGATGGATGTCAAAAGAATTTAAGGATATGGACAAAGCTGATTTCTGAAACTAGTGTGGGCTGGAGTAGTGAATTAGAAACAATTTTAGTTAGCAATGAGTGGTGAAAAGCAAAAATTAAGGTTAATTCCTCATGATCCTAACAATTTCATTTGTTATTGTCAGATTTTATAAAATATTTTAATACATAATGTTGCATTAATTATTTTTATTTCTTTTAAGTAGGAAATTGAAAGAGCTAAAAAATTTAGACATGTTGATATTAAACAGTCCTTGAAGATTAAATTTGACAGAATGTATTCCAACATCATTGTTATTGGAGAATATGTATGGACTCCATCATCAGGAGTACTTGGCGGCAATGATGTCGATCCTTACATTATCAACATTAATGGTATTAATATGGAAGAAGAGATGATTTCGAGGAGGATGAGATTCCAAGTTTGAAGAATGACATGTCTCGAATGGTAGGCGGGGTGAATATGTCGAGCAACAACAACACAAAGAGTAATGGCAAAAAAAAAAGATCCTTTTGAGGTTTGAGATAGAAAGAAGAAGACATTTGAAATTGGTGTTCAGCTACTGTCATGGTGGGAACAACTACTTGAGAGTATGTCATCTATAAGTGATTTCACTTCTTTACATATGGATCCCCAAGGTTGTAGTATTCCTGGGATGATAGTTAAGATCCACTCAATTCATGAAGTTTCAATTGATGATGATTTTCATGACTTTACTATGGAATATCTGAGTTTAAGAAGGAAAAGAAAAATGTGGTCTAGTATGGGTCGTTTTGAAGAGAAGTTGAAATGATTGAAGCGAATATATACATGAAGTAAACATGTTTAGCTGATATGATATGATTTTATTTTCTAAAGCGTTAATTTAATAACTATATTAAAGTACTAGCTAAATTTAATGTGTTATGTTATTTGACATGCTTGATAATTTATTCATACATGTTTACTTTTGCAGAATAATAAGCTGACAGTTTTGAAAAGAATAGTTTTCATTTGCAGAAGTTGATTTCATTTATTATATTATTCAACATTTGAAATTATAAGATGTGAGGATATCGATATTGGTTGTTTTTAATTGCTTTTTATTTTTATTTAAATGTTGTTATAGTTATGGACTTCTTATGTGAGTTATTAAATTGTTGAGTTCCTAGTATTTGTTTTTATTTGAATTGTAATTTAAAAGATTAGTTGTTGTTCCAAAACATTTTTTTTTTTTACGGATGTTGTATTATTGTATTATTTAGATCAATGTTGATTAATTTACTATAAACATGTAATATTTAATGAGTATAACTATTTACCATAAATAAATAACACTTTTATTGTTATGAATGTTTGTTTTAATAATTCAATATGTATGTCTACTGTGAATATTGGTGAAAATAAATATTACAAAGTGTAATGTTTTGGATGAGAAATTTATTGGAAGAAATCATGTTACGGTGTGTGACTTTTAATATAATACCAACTTCAAAAAATAAGGAAGAAAGCCTTGTATAATAGTAGCTTTAGTACCCAAATAAGAAGGATGCTAACATAATAAAAAATCAAAACTAGTAGAATGATAATAAAGGTGAAGACAATTGGCTAGCACAAAAAAATGCATGAAAAGAAGAAAATAAATGGTACAAAAATAAAGGATAACCAAAGGCTACAAATGAATGTCTATTTGATAAAAGCTGCCAATGAAAATGATGCTTGTGATAATTTTTAAAGTGCAATAGGCTTTGGTGTCTTAAATAATATAGACAAAAATATAAGGATAAGGAATCTTGAATAATAAAGACAGAAAAATAATTTGCTAAAAACCACGTGAAAGTAACAAGATGTCTTATACAAAAGAACATTCATATTTAAATTTTACATCTCATACATGTCAAAACTTATGCAGACAATTATATAAAAGCACAATATGTACAAAAGATATGTAGATATGTTTATTTCAGCAATATTAACAAACAAATTTAAATTGTTTATGCAAGGCATCATTTATTTTTTTCTATATAAGGAGGGATGCTTCTATCATGTATTTCAATAACATAATTATCTTCAGAAGAAACATTTCAACTACATTTATTCCAAGCAAGTGAAACATCTTCTTAGGCTTGATAGGTTTGTGATAAAGTTATTCTTCCCAAATCTTTGCTTTTTTTTTTTAATTATTGAATGATATTTAATTGAATTTATAGTATTTTATTAACAACCTATCTTTTTTTTTAATTTACATGAAATTGAAGATATGAATGATCCACGGTTTAATGTCATATTTAAAGAAAATTTTGATGATGAGTATGATAATGTAAAGAACCGTATTGTAAACTACATTAATTATCTTAGTTATGAAGATAGTGGTGCCTCGGTTTCTAATGTTGGAGATGACGATGATGGAAAGGACAATAACAACAATGACGATGATAGTAATGATGATGACAACGACAATGACGATGAAAGTGATGATGATGGTGAATTTTTTTAACGAGACAATTTGATATGAAAAACTTAATTATATGCATGACTATAGCTATAAATATGTATTATATTAAATATATGCATAAAGAACCATGTATGGTTTCATACAATATAGGAATATGTTGATTGAATGAAGTTTTAAGAGGTCATTAGAAATGATATATTAACATGTTTAGGATGGACACAACAACTTTGTTGAGTTTGTATAATGATTTAGAAACATATTATAGCTTAAAACCTTTAAGATGAATGAGTGTTATTGAAAAGGTGGCAATGTTTCTATTTATAATAATAGTAAAGGCGTCAAATAAGAAAGTGCAGAAGAGATTTCAACATTCAGGTGAAACTGTTAGTAGATGTATAAAAAAGTCCTTAAATCATTATGTCTATATGTTGTAGAAGTCATAAAACCAGTAGATCCATATTACCAACACCCTAAAAGAAATTGTAATGAATCTAAGACATATGTCACACTTCAAGGTAAGACAAAAAAAAATTATGTTGTTTAAATGAATATCAATTATTTTATTAATATTTCTAATTACTTACATTATTATTTTTCATGTAGAATTGTATTGGTACAATTGATAGTACACATGTTTGTACCTCCATATCATCTAATAATTAAATTCTATTTATTGGAAGAAAAGGTGTATCGATACAAAATGTCATGACTACTTGTAGTTTCGACATGGAGTTCATGTTTGTGTGGAAGATAGTGCACACGATACATGTGTTTTTCTTAAGGCTATTAACAATAGTAGTATAAAATTTTCAAAAGCACCGAAAGTTTGTGATTTGATAAATTAAAAACTGGTAACTAGGGTTAGATAATATTCTTTTTTAGTTATTGAAAAAACAAGGAGTGGTGACTAATTTGACTTGATCTATGTGTTGGCTTCTAAAAATACTTGCATTTGCATTGTATTGCCCCTTGGAATTTTATTGTGGTTGAGATGGAAACTTACCTTTCTCTTAGAAACTAAGAGCATACGTCAATTTTGCAATAGTATCTTTAAAATTTATCATGCTTTGAGCAAATTGAGTTTCGATTGTCTCTTGGTGCCTCATATGTACCTGTGATGTCTAATTTTTAGCATTTTCAGCTAACAAGTCTTTGCAGGTAAATACTATTTAGTTAATGTCAGATATCCTAATAAGTATAGGTATTTAGGTCATCTTCAAAAGTTCTGTTGTATATCAATTCAACCATTTGTCTATCCCTATAAAGACGAGAGGTATCACTTATAATATTTTACGCATCGTAAACAATCAAGTGATCGAGAAGAATAGTTTAGTTATACATAGTCATCACTACGTAATGTGATATACAGTTCTTTTGGGGTATGAAAATAAAGGAGAATTTTATAAAACATGTCTACTTATCCATATAAAACACAAGTTGAGATTGTGGTGATTTGTGTTTTGAAAGAGTTTGTTCTCTAAGAAGGGAAAAACTTCTTAAAAGAAAATTACAAGATGACAAGGTTTTTGCTGAATATGATTGGAATTCCAATTT